TCCATACTTCCTTTTTCTATTAAAACTAACTTTGTTTTATCGATATTTTTTTCATAATTGTACATGTCAATATCACATAAATTGATCTACAGAAAAAAGATAGCTTGCGTTGCAAGATAACATACGCCCACTGGCAGCTGTCAGAAATAATAAAACAATCTTTAGTGACTAAAGTACGAATTTTCTCATATTGAAGAAATTATTTATGCTGAATAATTCCACAAAATTTTTTAAAATCAATATCAATAACCCAAATACAACAAACAGTTACATCACACAGCTCTAATCAAGGGCAAAAAACAACTTTTGACGTGTTTTTACAAAGTCAAGGGCAATAACTCAAAAACCGTTCATCGAAAATGTGTCAAGTTAGAACTTGTCCGAGATCTTATTAATTCCAATGATTACACCAAATTTCATCAGAATCGGTTGAAAACTGTAGCTTCAATCCTGCAACTATTTTTAACAAATTTCGACGCGTTTTAACAAAGTCAAGGGCAATAACTCAAAAACCGTTTGTCGAAAATGTGTCAAGTTAGAACTTGTTCGAGATCTTATCAATTCCAATGATCACACCAAGTTTCATCACAATTGGTTGAAAACTGTAGCTTCAATCCTGCTCACGAACTATTTTTAACAAAGTTTGACGCGTTTTAACAAAGTCAAGGGCAATAACTCAAAAAACTTTCATCGAAAATGCGTCAAGTTAGAACTTGTCCGAGATCTTATGAATTCCAATGATCACACCAAGTTTCATCAGCATCGGTTGAAAACTGTAGCTTCAATCCTGCTCACGAACAATTTTTAACAAATTTCAAGGCTTTCTAAGTCAAGGGCAATATCTCAAAAACCGTTCATCGAAAATATGTCAAATTCGAACTTGACCGAGATCTTATCAATCTAAAGCATCACACCAAGTTTTATCAAAATCAGATAAAAACTGTAGTCTCTATAGTGCTCACAAGAAATGTTGACGGACGGACCGACGGACAGGGGCGATGACAATATCATGAAACAAACATTATGCCAAACTCTCATATACAAATTGTTTGACTGGACATGATTTTTTTCATTGATTATATCACCTTGTTTATTCACCTCATAAAAAATATAAACAAAATAAAATACAAGACATTTTTTAAAACATTCTTAAGATCAATTTTTATCTTTGTTTATGTTATAGGTTTATGAGATAGGTGAAGTGTCTGCCCTATGATTTATAAGTTCACTAAGAATTCTTTAATATTATCTGTGATGGAATTTCTGTAAATTTACTTAATGATACTCTTCCTCTACTATGTAAAAATAAATACATCTGGAATTTTTGAAATGCTGCTACTAGCCAAAAAAAAGCTAAATGAAAATCACTGAGTTTCATTTGAACTACTTGAGCTAGGAATCTTAACATTCTAAGCCTGTTTGTGTGAAGTAATTGGTCATCAATACTTATATTAGTTGGCACATAGGTGTCTAGTGACCATGAATAAGACAAATTGGATAATATTGGATAAAATAAGAGGACATTTGACTATTGACTATTTGACAACCTTCCACTATCAATAAAACCTTTTACATTACAAATTTATTGGTTCTCAGAACGGAGCGTATGAATTTTGAGTAATGTAAACAGTCGAGCGTTTCAGAACGGACCTGATTAATTGGTGCTATGTAAACTGTAACTGCTCCTCACAATTGACCTTCACCTTTTCCCACGAAATTTCAGCATTATTCATATGGCTTCGGTTAGATCACAGTGATTGCAAGGGTTGATTTTAACTTCTTCAAGAAGAGTTCCACAGATAACCGTGCCGAGAACACTTTTCCTTTACACTATAACTGAAGAACCGTTCTCAGATACTTGAGTTTACTGAAATGTAACTGGGCACATTTTATCGCAGTCTGGTCCACGCTGAGAGCAGAACGCTTAATAGCTGCCTGGTGTAAAGGGGCTTATGCGATATAAGATACAACTGGAATTTCAGAGATTAGCCAGACAAAGTTCAGTGATTTATAGAGCCAAATCACTGCTAGAAGGTTGTAACCTTAACATTCAACAAATATTCAATCCATTGCCAAAATGAAATGAGGTGATTATTTTGACAGATGGCTGAATGTAATAAATCAAAACTGTGATTGGCTCGAAGAGAAAAATGCTATAACTTATCATAACTCAGCACAAGCACTTGCTAAAACATATTGCTTTGTTTTTCACAAAAACTGTTTTGGGATGGTATTTTGATGCCCTGAACTAACACAACAAAAACCTAAAAATGTAAAATAGCAGGCATGATCAATACAAACATCTTCCTTTCAAATTCAAAATTGCATTTCAGCATTTCAGAAAAATATGATGAATTTTTACAAATCATTACATTGTATTTTTTGTCAAATTACCTACTAAGCTCGAATACAATTACAATTTGTGATTGATCAAGTAGAGCACCTTTAAGTTGAATGTGTACTGAACATTGTCATCAGTTGAAGGAGACTATCTACTAGAAACTATCTAGTGAAATTAGAGTAGATAGAAGTGGTAGTCTGGAACCTAAAATTATCAACAACTCATTCATATAGACCAAAAATAAACCAGGCAAGTTTCTGGAAACATTGGAATATTTATAGAGATAGATAAGAAATAGATAAAGCTCAAATATTTTCTTTTAGAAGATTTAATTATATACTGGTATTATAATGATATATAGCATGCAATGTGCATTGTTGAAAGCAATCCATATCTCAAAAATTACTCTTCTGGAAATATTTTTCAAATACTGAATACTGTGTATTAAAGTGTTCCAAATATATATCAAGTTATTAAAAATTACAACATAATACAGGCAAGATTTTTGTCTTTTTTTATACATTAATCCTGATTACTCGAAAGGCATTTTGTAAATAAGTCACACCTCAGGGCAAGTCGACATATTATTTACAGTTATTTTCAAAATCAAGTTTACAGAACAGAAAAAGAAATCCAACTTTCCAATCTGTATTTATTGAAGAAGAAAAAGAATTCATTTAGAAATTCAGTGAAATGGCCAGACATAGAGAAATCAATACAGACAAATGTAGAATATATTTCAACACTGTTATAGAAACTATACCACACCATTTTACAAATAACTTAGAAACAATGGATAACAATTGAAATTCAAACTTGTCAATCTCTTCACTAAATTGTTAATACTTGTAACAGTGACAAATTGTAACAGTTTTACACTGAGACAATTATATTGTGTTCCTTCCTATGATGTTTTAATTTTTGCCTTATTTAACACTTGAGTAACTCTTGAGTAAAATTAAGTGATGTGTACATAAAAATACCATTCTTTTCAAGATTAGCTATTTTATTCTTTGTATAAACCATTAAAGAAATAAGGCATATTATTTGCTTATGATGCAGAATCAATAGTTGCGCAATGAACAATTCTCATAGGCTATCCTATTAATATTTCAGATTCAAAATATATGACACCCAATTGCTACCCTTTAAGTTCTTTCAATATAGAAATCTAAAAGGGCCCTCACACCATAGCAATTACCAGTTGTATTTGGTTGCGAATGATGAAAGTGCAACTACCAAGTTCTATTGGAAACTTTTGCCCGCTATCCTCAGTTACAACCATACGTAACTAGTAATAGCTATGGTGTGAGGGTACTTTTACACAAATATACCAGTTATTGTGATTTCTTACCACAAGGTTAATTTCAGGTATAGAAAATAGAGCGAAATACATCACAAGCTCTGCCAAAACAAACAAACAAATTTTAGTCATATTCAAATAGTTTTACACAGCAAAGGGTATGACAAAACTGAGAAAATATGCCGAAATCCATGCCCAAGATAAAAATATGTCATTCAAAAAATTACAAGTTGCACTTTTTTGTCTTTTGATCTTCAAGTCTTAAAATATGCCAATCAATGGTTATACATAATAAAGGATAAGAAAATCATTGATGCAATATATAAGGGTTTCTAAAATAAACAATAATATTTGACTTAAAAAAGTTTTCTTATAAAAAGGTAATATTTGTCAAGGTGACCTTACAATAAATATCAACACCTTTTCTTTAAGTTAGATTACCATTGTATTCAACTTTAAACTTAAATATATTTGTCATTGCATCTATCCTCAAATAGATGTATATGTTTTAGTTTAAGTATTTGTTTTATCAGGCAATAGAGTTGAATTTCAGCCATTCTATTACATTCTATTACAAAGTAATGTTTTTTTAGTTTTTTAAAAATTAGGAGGTTTTAAATATTTGAATAATTTTTTAAATGTTTATTAAATTTTTAAATCTTGTTAAAATGTTCAATAAAAACTTAATGTTTGTCAAAATGTTTAATAAAATATCTACACTTTTTAAATGTTTTATAAAAATGTAATGCTTTTAATTGATTGCAAATGTTTGATACAACTGTAATCCTTTTAAATGTTTTATAAATTTGTATTGCTTTTAAATGTTTTATAAATTTGTAATTCTTTTGAATGTTTTATAATGCTTTTAAATGTTTTTCAAAATTTAATTGATTGCAAATGTTTGATACAACTGTAATCCTTTTAAATGTTTTATAAATTTGTATTGCTTTTAAAAGTTTTATGAATTTGTAATTCTTTTGAATGTTTTATAATACTTTTAAATGTTTTTTAAAATTGTAATGCTTTTGAAAGGTTTATGATATTGTAATGCTTTAACATGATCTTTAATATTATTATACTTAAAGAGATGCTCCATAAAATTTCAGTGCTTTTCAATATGCTTTCAATAATCATAATGCTCTTTAATATGTTTTATACAAAGTTATATAATGTTTCTCAACATGTTTAATAAGGTTTTGTAGTTTTTTAAATGTATAAATTCAAATTTCATAGTTAAATTTGTAGTGATTTTTGTATGCTAATCAAGGTGTATTCTAAGTTTTTCTACAACACCTGATATCTATCAATCATTAAAGAAAGTTTTATGAACCATGAAGAAAAACATAAAAAACTTACATGTGAGGGGGTAATTCATAAATATTCCTACTTCGATACTCATCAATAACATCATGGGTATAAAGTTGAAGTTTTTGATATGGATTTACTGACACCACCACATTTCCAATATAAGTCTGTAAGATCAAACAAAATTTCTAATTAGCAATATGAACTTAAACTGTAGCATAATTTAGTTTTTGTCTTAAAAAGGGGTAAAAATTTCTGAAGAAATTTTGTATTATCAAAATATACATAAACATTTACTATCTGGATTATATTTTATTTATGTACTGGCTGAATAGTGAGGTGAAATTTCCCATAAATGTCTTGATATATCATGATACAAACAATATCATTTCACACAAAAACTTGGAAAGAAAAACATATCTGATCAAAGACATAAAAAGGGTGTTTTAGTCAAATTTACATATCTTCACTTAAAACAGAAAGCTATAAGAGGAAACTATACATGGTCTGAGCAGCCATTACAATCCTTCAGCAAAATTTATTGGAACTGTTCCTTTAACTGATTTCAAAATGATCTAGAGAATACATCCACAGAGTTAACCAATGTCATATTATTGTCAAAAAACTTTTGGATTCTGTTCTTTAACTAATTAAAACAGATTTTTAAATGTGAATTCCAATGAATATAAGTAAGAAAAATACTAGCAAATTTCTTGTGAGCTTATTCTAAATTTCACTTTAAAAATCACATTTCTATAAATATGGGACAGTAAATGCAGAAAAAGTATGAATATGAATTATTATTATAAACAAATGACAGATTATATTCAATTTAAGAGCTGTCAGATTGGAATTATGCAAAGTGTCACAATGACATTAGACATTTTCCCTAATCACAGACATATTTCTGTTTCTAGATAGATAGATATCAATGCTCATCAAGTAAATTTTATATTAAGATTAAGACAAAAAAAACATTCAACTAATTAAGACCATCTAATAGCTTCTCTTTTAATTTATAAACTAAGGCCTATTACAATTGGGAAAGTCAGCTCTCTTCCAGCTTTGCTGTAGAAAAGTTAATATATGTAAATGAAGCATTTTTTCATTCAGAATAATTTACTGCTGAAACTTCATTATAATGCTATACCAATGTCACCAAACTGAAATTGTGCTTGTTGCATGCAATATTGTATCATATATATTGTATAAAGCTCAATTTAAGTTGTCAAACTAGCTCAGCTGGTTATAGAAATATGAAAATTGTTTTTGGTAGTACTTTAAGATCTCAAGGTTGTTATTTGACCAGGTTAATTGGAGCCAAAGACAATAGTAACACATGGTCTTGCCACACATACTTCTTATCATTCATAGATACTAGTCAGCATAGACAGCCTTTTTTTTTCTTTACATGAACGTATTTTATCCTAGGGTCAGATCAGAATCATTCCGATAGTTCAGCCTAAATTTCATTTTATTTTTGTAATGAAAATGTCATTATTTCTAAAATTACAAATACATTTCCACCTTTCTTTTAATCATTAATCATCTAATTTCACTTTTGGACAAAATCCATTCAGACATCTGTGAAGTAATTTATATAGTTGAGTTGAATGAGAAATCACATTTATTTTTTGCCAACAGTAGAAAATTACAATTCTGCTATTTTATACAATACATTAGGTAATTATAGAGTTTCTTGCTTCTTGCATTCCATACAGCAATTACAAAGTAATAGTCCAAATACCGGTAACTTCAATGTCTACGTTCTTTTAGCTGTAACAAGTATGAATTTAGTCCATTTAGTATTTAAACAGATCTCTTGGCCTCTTTTCCATGCACTGATTTTTATAACATGAAGCAAATATTTTGCATGTTTGTAAGAATTCCAAAGTTTCCAGCAAAGAATCATCTTTGACCAATTTTTGAGCAATGACGTCAAATAGCAATAACATCATTATCAATCTCTCATAACCATAGAAATCAATACAAAAACATCTATGGTAAACAGCTTTAAAAGAGGCTGTTGGGTGCTAAAAGGTAATTGATCTCATTTATTTCAAGAATAGAAACTTTTATATGTATTTACAGTTTAAACAATCATGTGTAGGCTTCCCTTACAATGCCAAAGTCAAAGTTTTCTTGTACTGTTAAATTTCTCATATCCTACAAACTTACAATGACAGTGGTTCAGTTTGTATTATGAAGGGTGGAGGAGGGCATAGGTCAAATGATATTTTGCAGTATCTCAATGGTTCATACTCATTCCATTTGAGATTCACAAAAATCAAACAACTAATCCAATTTTGCTTATGGTAGAACTTTAGCTGTAAGGAGTGAAATAACAATGCAGTGTCTTCAGGATGACTTAAGCCAGAGATTGATCCAATTCTCCTAGATGCTGAAATTGTTCAGCTGACTTTAAATAATGGGGATATACCCCTCTTTGTTTCTCATCTCAGAAAGAATGCTACCTTTGTATCAAAAGTTTGTCTTTGTGTGAAGGTAAATCTGTAACATAATCTCCAGCGATGATATTCAAACTCATTAAATTTTTAACTTATCTATTTCTAAATCTATTATAATGTTTTTATGTCTGTGTCTAATCAAGAATATAAAAATAACACCGTACTAACTAAATATACTTACGTAAATCAGATCATGTTTAAAGCGCTCATGTATGTTGTCAATAAAAGCATCTTCTGTAATAGGATCTAATAAAACAGCATCACTGACTCCTACGTTACTCTCTAATGACATCAATCTTTCATGATGTACAGCCATTTTACTTGATTACTGAAATAAATGCATTTCAAGGTTTTAGGAAATATAGAAATATAGGATTCCCAAGCTATTCAATTTAAACTTTATGAATTATTCATTAATTTATCACTCAATGATATTTTATCGCAAAGTTTTTCAAGATTTATAAATATTTAATATGTGACATCAGTTCATCGTTCCCGGTACAACATTATTACGTCTGCTGAATTTAAGTTGCACATTGTTTAATAACTTTTTCTTTTTTTGGATATTAGAAAGATTTATTATTATTTTTAATTTTTGTTTGACATTTCCTTACATTGCAAATATCGTAAAGTTTGCAAGTTATCGCTCAAAAATGAATTTGGAAGGGTTTAATAGTTCTATAGAAAATCCTGTTCACCTAGTCTCACAAACAAGAGAAAATTGACAGACGTGAAGATCTTTTATAAAATGTTGAATACATACATTCATGTAACAATATCCTCTATAATATTACAAGAACAGAAATAATCCTCTAGAATTGTTCACACACAAATCCAGTTTTTAAATCCTCACATTAAAAAGTACATTCATTTATCAATGAACACTTAGATTACTAAAGTCAAAATGAAATTCAAGCCAAAATTTCAGAAATTTCAGATGTCAATATGGAGAGTTCTAATAAATCATCATAAATTCTTTCATTCATACCATAATATATACACTATACAGGTTGGATATATCCTCAAATATTGAGTAGTTGAACAAGTTATAAAATAGTCACTACTAGTAAAATACTGTCAATATATTGGTACCTAGGGTATTTTATGGTATCTAATATGATTAGGTTATATGACCATCTTATCTATATAGTAAAAGTTTATAATATCAAACACTATAAATCTAGATTAGAAGACTGTATACTAGTGTAATGGATGTCTTTAGAGCTCTGTAATAATCAAGGCTTGTCAAGTCATTTGTAATATGATTTAACATTTATCATTGTAATATCTTCTAATCTATTATCTTAACTAACATCTCAACATTTGTCAAACAGCAATTAATAGGTTTGTAAAAGAGATATATATATTCTTCTGAAGCTGTTACAAAACCATGACATCTCATTTCTGGTATTTTAAGAAAAATATTGTTCAGAAACTACCAGAAACAGAGCTGTCTGTGACAGAATGAAAATGGGAATCTTGGTTCTCCCACAATTCAACACCTCCCTTTAAAATTCAAAATTCAGTCATTCCCATGTGTGTCCTTATGTGATTGGGTGTAAACTTTTTCTCATCTGCTCCTAGCAAAAGGTATGATCGTTTTAACAGATTTCGAAATTGTCCCTTTAAAGCAAAATTTTATATTCATAAATTGTTATTTATATCACCGAAAAATAGAGTAAAGATAAATAACGAAAAGATGATCATAATATCTGGTTTTGACCTAAAATCATAAGTTAATCATCATCACAAGGTATCATATATCTATTATAGATTCACTGGGTACAAGTTTTTATCTGTAAGTGATTCTACAGAATACAAACTATTACCCATATAACAGTTACATGTGTTTCATCTTAATTACATTCAAGAACTACAATCTGCACTGATGTGAGCACAAAAACTCTAAAACTTTTACAAATTGGTCCAGGGCATCAAGAACCTCAAGTTAGAGTTAGGTGAAATATGAGTTTTTATTGGGCATTGTGATATAGACAGATTTTTATCACGATAGGTTAAAATTTGTAATGTTGACCATGTGATTGAGGTGATGTTTATTTCATAGCATAACAATATACTGAAGATCAATTTTGAAGGGACAATTATTGTTTGAAAGTGGGACTGCATCTGGCTTTAATATAACCCATTGTCACAAAATGCCACAACTTGATGTGGGGTTTGCAACACACTATCTTTTGATCTCTATACACACTGGACAACTGTTTGTGATGGAGAGTCACAGAAGTTTTTTCGATTGACTGAAAGCACTTGCAATGTTAACTTCACAAATGGTTTGTAAACTATCATTATGTGTAAAATTTTATTGTCTTTTTTATAACCCTCATATCATTAGATAATATCACACTGATATACTGGTATAGAAATTATGCCAGATCATATCTGTTATAATTCTCATACCAGTTTGTTTGATAGCATCCTTATATCCCCGACAAGTTTGGCTTCATTGTCAACTCCATTTTAAGAAATAAGACCAACAAATAGTTATCTTTTCATGAATCTAATTAAAATACAGATATGGATGTTACATTTTGTATTTGTTCACAGGTTTGGCATCCATGATCTGACATGATACTTCATTAAATTGGATTCTGTTGAATTTTTCAAGCTTATTAACTTAGTGGCATAAACAGTATGGATCTACAGCTGGGTATATAATATGTTAATTCTGAAAAATGTCAGAGTTGAAGGGGTTAACATCTAAATCTTATTGATATAAACACTTATCTCTAACTATCCCACTTAAACAAGGCTACTGTCACTGTCATACATTAGCTTCTACTATCAAAAGAAGGTCACAAGTCTCAATAAAAATTCAATTTACAGTTATTTTGCTGTGGTAAATCAGCAGATAAAGGGATTGTAAAGAGGTTTTCTAATTTTTCATATATGTATCTGGAACACTGATGCATCAATTTACACCATTTCAATTTTCAGTCAGATGTCTGTGGTTCTTGCAATTCCTCAAAAAATAAGTGTTTGACGATGTCACTAATAGCAAATTATGCTTGATCACATAAGTCCTTAGCAATTAGTGACATCATCAAACACTTAGTTTTAGAGGAATTGCAGGAACCACAAACGTCTGAATGAAACTTTGAATGGTGAAAATTGATGCTATCAGTGTCTTTGATACACATTAAAAAAATTAGAAATCTTCTTTACAATGTCTTTAAGGTTTCCTTCTACAAGTATCAAATAATAATAATTTGTGTAGATCATATTTCACGAACACAATGATTACCTACAATTATCCTCATAAACCAGACGAAAATTAGTATAAAACAAACTTTGTAAAAATGATTTTCGCATTTATATTTCAGAAGCATAGTTTTTCATGAATCAATTCATGGACAGCATCAAAAAATATAAAGTGTAATCACATTAATCATTCCAAGAAAGATTATCTCACATAAAGAGATCTTTAATTAAAAAGTTTGTGCATTTTAAATATCAGAAACCAGAATAAGTTGGCACGTAGATAGTATAGTCCTTTACACAGCATTAAATTGTCATATCAGAGCGTACAAATATATTTTAAAAAATTTCTTAGAAAAAAAGATTTCCTACCTAAAGATCCAGAGTTTTTGTTATTCCTTCATAAAAACGGTCATAATCCTGATAATGGTGCCAAAACCAACAGAAATATCTGAAACTTGATGTCTTTGAGGTAAACAAGTTGCTATATAAATGGATGTTTTACGTCACACACTGAAGTTTAATACCAGTCAATATATACATCAAGTTGTTTTCTGAAAAAAATAACATCATATACTGATATAGGCAACTGTAGTGTCAGAAATGTTCCTTATTGATATATTTCTACTGATAAGATAGGTAGCCTGAGTTAAAACAGTTTCACTCATTATTTCTCAACCTTATAGTATACATATATACACACACTAAAATATATATTAACTTGTTTACCAATATCTCACAACATTCTAACTTTTCATTCTTTGATGTTTTTCATCAAATTTCAGCAAAATATTCCATATAAATTCCATATAAATAGTGTAATCCCAGAAAAATGCATTACAAAAATTTTATCTTTTGATTTAGAAAGTGTATTTAAAACATTTTAGTTTCAGTAAATTCTCTTCTAGATATAGTCATAAAAATATTTTCTCTCACACCAATTTCAATGGTAGTTTAAAGATTCTATTAACACATTGTTAGAAAATCATTTTCAATTCTGACTCAAAACCAGCAACTTTTATTTTAAATGTTCTTTCTGACATCGCAGTGTATCTTAAAGGGGTTGTAAAGAGGTTTTCTTAATTTATAATATGTATCGACGACACTGATATGCCCAATTTCAATTTCAGTCAGTTCCTGCAATTTCACAAAAAAGAAGTGTTTGATGACGTCCAATTTTTGTGGAATTGCAAGAACAACATATGTCTGACTAAAAATTGGAATTGTACAAATTGATGCTATTAGTGTCCCCGATACACATTAAAAATTTAGAAAACCTCCTCACAATCTCTTTAAATAGAATACCTGCATTTCTTATATAATCTAATCAGAATTCTACATACTCAAAGCTCCAATCACTCTGCAGATAAACTTCAACATTTTAAAGAAGTAATTGGCTAACGGTATTAGAAAAGTTTTGCAATGTAAATATTCAAGTGCAGACCAATTTTATTTTATAAAGGATGTCAATAAAAAAAAAATTAATCTTTCACTTGAATCAATGACACACGCCTCTAGTTTAAAAAAAACAATCTTATTTAAATTTAGTGAAGTAAACCAAAAATAACCTTGAAAATTCAACCCTACTGTTACTGTTTTTTTATCCTAATTTGAACATAATTTTGTCAACTTTTGTCAAATGTTTCATTAGTTCACCATTAGTTCATGTGACAACTTTGGCTTTGAGCAGTATTTTGCTGCAGAGAAGGCAAGGTAAAAGGTTACCAGTTTCATTAAAAATGTTAAATGAAAATTGCCAGGGCAGCGGCTGCATGGTACACAATTGCAACTAATGCCAGATTTAAAACATTTTGATTTATTTTATTTTTCATAGTGGGTAGTACATATAATCTGCTAGGAACTGCTGGTAAAATGACACTAATTGTGTATTTCTATTTTGTCAATATATGAATAGTGGGTTCCTCCTGGAAAGAAAAAATGTCAAAACAATATACAAACAATGCCTCAGTACATACATTAGAATATGATCTTACATAAAATTTCATCATGATATACAAATTCGAAACTGAAAATTTCGAAGCGTACCTTGAAAATGAGAACACTGAATAGAACATA